GTATATGGGATTATGACTTTAGTGGTTTATTACGTTCTTAACTACAAGAGGAATTTCCTCAGAGTCATGCATGTCACCCGAACCTTCCTATAGTTTTCTGTCATTGGATTGGAGAAACAAAATATATAATCATGGAGAAGTATTTGTGCTTCATTTTTTATCATATTCCCATCCAGTGCTTCAAATCGTATTTGCAAATGTTGGCATTTTCAAATGGAATTACCCATCAGTTTTTCTTGAACTATTTTAGCAATTCTAGAAATGTACAGGATGTGTGATTATTTTTTTTTTAAAGCAAAACAGAATTTCAGTTTTGAGTAGCTGCTTTCAGAAATCTCTTAAGCCATTGAAGTAAATAAGTATTAGTAATGTATGTACTAATGTAAAGCCTTTGAGTTTACAGGAGTTTTCCTACCAAAATCTGTGGTAATTAGATAAATCTTCAATAATTTTGCTAAGTGTATATTTTTTTCTGTACTTGTATAAAAATTACTCTCTACTGTGAATCTGGTTTTGTAGCCAAAGTGGCTACATAACAGGCTCCCTTTGGAATTTGACACTGAGACAGTTGAGAAGAGCAAGTATCAAAGATACTTTCTAGCAACTAGTTTAAAGCCTCATAGGTAAAATATACAAAATTATATATAATATTATTCAAAACATCAGTATTGGAACTGGGGTATGAGAGCTTTCTGCTTAGTGGCTGGGAATGCTAGTGTTCTGAGCTATATTGATAAAGAGTGTTTTTTTTCTGAAGAAAAGCATTCTTTTCTTCTCTGAAGGTATCTGTCTAACACCTACCAGAAATGTCAGCTGTTTGGTATGGAAAACTGGGCGTTAACTTTACCAAGTGACATGTATCATCTGGAGGACATTCAGCAGTCCTACTAAGCTCTGACTTTGTATGACAAAATAAGAAGGAGGAACATTTGAGAAGATTGATTTATGAACAGTAGTTGAGAAATAATTTAACCAGAAATGTAAAAAAACACAACCAAACCCCAAAACTACAAACCACCACCTGTGGTAATATATATTGTGGTGTCATAAATAAAGATGACCACAGATAAAGATGCTGGTTTATCCTTCAGTAAAAGCTATTCAGCATCTTCTCTGGCTGACCTCTGGCAACTTGCGTTTCATTTCTACTTGGAGCTTATTCTTCATTGAAAGTAAAAGCTGTAACTAGGGAGCATCACTGATTTCTGTCTTGAGGAAAGTGAGGGAATATTCCTTGAGACTGTGAATATATAAAAAAACCTGTCTTGTATGCTTATTATACCAGCACACCAGTAAGCAGTCTTAAAATGGTGGTGGCTGCAGAGTGGCATTGATCTCTTTGCAGGATAATTTCTATTACTGTGTTTTAAAGAATTTTGAAGGTTTGTTGGAGAGTTCTAATTGCTATGGTTTACAGAGTGGTTCCAGTGGATGCTGTAGTCTAATAATTCTTCAGTCCTGGGTGATATGTTGCAAAGCAGTCTTCTGAGCTATTTTGTTCCCTCCCCGTGTATGTCTTGTGTGTGAGGTAAGACTGTGAGAAGTTTTTAAGGCTGTGAAAATCTGCATGAGACATGTTTGAATACGCCTCTCGCCAGGCACTGATAAGTCTTCTGTGCTTTCATACTACCTGGCAACTGACAGAGGCTTGGATGAAACTGAGTACTGAGTGATACTGGAAAAAGGTAGGGACAGCTTCCACAAGCTAGCAAAGCAGTTGTCTAGTCATCAAACTTAATGTTTGAGATGGTCAAAGGGGGCCTTCCAGCAGAAGAGTTGAATGAATTGTCACGTGCTGATGGTTATGAAACTTTCTGAATACCTGTGGGCAGACCGTCTCTCCACCAGATCTCTAAAGTGACCATTTAGTTTTGGAATTTAAGTGATAGATTGACTGTTCTTGAAGACCACTCAGAGACATGAGCAGGAGCGAAGCTGGCTTGCATGCCGCCATGGACACCAGTGGTGTGGCATCAGCTGGCAGCAAGCAGGAGCCTCAGCCGCTGTTTTTGCTGGAGCCTGTGACCTTTGGCCAGTGCCAGAGCAGGGTGAGGGTAAGACCTCACTCCAGAGCAGGTGTTGGCTTCCTTTTCGCAAGCCAGTTTGAATGGGGATTGTAAAACATATGCACGCACACATTATTCCTCTTGGGGCTTGGCTCAGGTTACCCAAGAGATCTTCTATTTTCTTCCTTCCCCCATATATGCCATTGGAAAGTCACAGCAGCTGCAGAGGTCTCCGCAGAAGTTTTCTGTCTGTCTGGGAATTGCATTTTTAAGGCTTGTGGTTCAGCTGAATTCCTGAATATGCTGTATACCAGCCCTTTCTACAAAGGTTTTTGCTGGGCACGTGCAAGAGAATTACTGTGGGAAAGATCTGGAGTTGTTTAGGGGGAAGAATTGATTCCAAATGATGTCTTGATGTAGTTTTATTGTGTTTTTCAGACAATGAATTAAATACCATTTTCTCATACTTAGGAACTTGGAGGCAAAGACTCACTACCTTTTTAATTATCATAATCAGTGGTTGCTTACCTATTACAAAAATACTTATTTCCTTGGTTATTTATTTAGCCAGTAATTACTAATGAATGGGTTTGTTTCCAGGTATCTATGTTGAACTCTTTCCAAAGATGTTTATGTTCTGAGTCCCTTATGGTTTTCCCAGTATGGCATACTTAAATGGCTATTCCAAAGTGCCAAAAATCCAGTTCTAATGCCCATTTTTCCATGACTTCATGTCACTTTCACAGAAGAAGACAAAACAATATTGAGTGATTTTCTGTTTGCATTTTTTGTTAAATTAAGTTGGTTTTAATTAGAATGTCTAATAAAGCACCTGTGCTAAAGTGGTAAACCATGTACTCCATGGACCTTCATCCTTAAGCTAGCCCTGATTGACTAGATTACATGTGGTCTAATATCTACTTTTCATTATTAAGAACAGTTCTTTTGCCACTGCAGCAAAAGGGCATCTAACAGACAAAGCAAAATTTTGTTTAAAGATGCTAATCTTTCGCTGTTACAATAGGAAAAAATTAAAAGGCAGAGGAAAATAATTGAAAGGTTTTATTTCCTGAGGGTTTTTTTAATGGATTATATTGATTAACAAAATTGCTGCATCTCACGGCAGAAACTTTTTATAAGAAGGCAGTAATTGTAATTAATTTTTTGTCTGTGCCACATATTTGATGATAGCTCTGATTCATGCTATTATATTCTCTCTTCCTTCACCCACAGCAAAACAAATTTAATTTGATTCATACCCTTAAGAAAAAAAAAAAAAGAAAAAAAAAAGAAAAATTACTCACATGGTTATGATTCAGCTCTTGGCATAAAACTCTGTCCTCCTCCATTCTCCCCTTCTCCCACCCAAACCACCCCCACCCTCACCCACTGTATATTTATGTCACTGGTCTGAAGAAGTTGAGTAGCTCTTTAAAAACAGAGCAAACGAAATCCTTCTTTGAGCTGCTGTATTACTTAGGTTGATACGAGTCTAATAAGACTTCCTTTTCACAAGTAGTATGGAGGCAGCAACAGTACTCTGTTTTTCATGTTGCTTTAGCAGACAGCAGTACTGCTAGAGTCTTGAGATATGCTTGCTTTTAGCAGTTGAGCAAAGCTACAGTGAGCAATTCTAAAATTGCTTAAGTACTTGTATTTGTGAGCCTGTCTTAAAAAAAGGAGAAAAAAATTATGTAAACTGCGGGGGGGGGGGGGGGGGGGGGGGGGGATTCTGGTTGAAATGAAGCACCAGAAGAGCTTACCTTAATATTATTTTTTGTCTTTTTCTGAATTAGTCATAATGATCTCATTTTTAGACCTTAATAAATTCCCCAAGAAAAAAGAAAAGTTGTGCTGCTTTCTCTATACAAATGTATAGCAGTGTATCCTGTTTCTTACAACTTGTGTCAGATACCATTTTGTATGGGTGGTGACAATCTTTTGTCTTTCCTGAGTGCTGGAAGTATGAATGTTACTGTCCTACTCACCATTGTATGTGAAGAGCCATGGCTCCTAAGAGCTGAAGGTTGAACACAGCTCAAGTTCTGTGGTCAGTCACTAGAAATGTTTAAAGGAGGTGTTTTATGCATGAAAAAAGAGGTATTTATGGAGATCTGGTATGTAGAGGTGATGCAGTCCAACTATCCCAGTGGACATCAGAAGTAGTTCAGTACCTATGAAAGTTAACGTATTTATGTGTGTAACACTGAGCACAGAGGTTTTCATGCACACTGATGCTGTGAATCAGTCACAATAGGTACCGCAGCTTGTCTAAATTGGTGGGAAAGTGTATTTTCAGCCAGTCGTGCTAATGCAGCCCTTCCACTCATTCTAAAAAAAGAGCAGATATCAAAGAGGGTTTGAGAAAAGAAGGGATGTCTCAGAGCCTAGATCACTTGTTTACAGAAAAGATTAACTTACTAACTTTTTAGTTAAATGATACATGTTTCATTAGCCGTGTGTTTACAAGCTTTACTTTTTCAGTAAAGGAATGAGTTATCCCAAGGAAAAGAATAGAATCTATAGGGGAGAAAAGAGGAAATTAATTTCTTCCTCCTCTCCCTAAGATCCTCTGCTTGTACAGGCACTACAAGGAAACTATGGATACATGCACAACCTTGGTCTGTGACATTGTATCTAGTTCTGACATCCCAGTGATTCTGGGTGCTTCCGTGTGAGCTGGGCTCTTCCCCTCTGGCAGAGGTGGGCCTTCAGTGCAGTTAGCATTAAGGGTGGTGACAGTTTACTGTGGAACTCACTCCCTCAGGGAATTGTGAAGGATGGAGCATCTGCTTTTTTCCCCAGTCCTGAGGTGACTCCCGTATTTTGAGTCCTGGTCACAAAGTACTGTCATGAAAAAACTTGGCCAGGTGAGGGAACAGTGGTCTGTCTGTATGGTGTCTTTGTAGACTTTCTGTCTCCCTCTCCTGCATCATAGCTTTGTGCAACATGGGAAGATGGAAACTGTCTAATTTGAGCTGTCTAACTCCCTAGGGAGCAAGAGTGGCCTTTGGCAGCACTGTGGTGTGCTGAAACTTCAACTGGATCAGGCCCTCTCGCCTGTGGCATCAACTGGATGGCCCCTGTGACCAATACCAGTGATGAGCGTCATAAAAGGAATCAGGCAATTTACCTATTGCATTTGGACCAAGACAAAGGTGAGAAAGTCAGAAGGGAAAAATAGGTAAACTTCCCTGCTGGGAGAGGAATGTTGCTAAATGTTGTACGAAACAGGCTCTGCTGGAACAATGAACTAAAACAAGTCTCCTGATGAAACAGTCAACAGAGAGAAACATAGGAGAATAGGTGGGTGCTTTTGTCTGTGAGGGTGCATGGAGTAGGATGAACAGTTTCACCCCTTTCAATATTCCTTGTTCTCTCCCTTCCTGCTCTAATTGAATTTCTGTGTTAAATTGAAGTACCCTTCTCCCAGAAAGCACGACAGACAGAATCCAGCTGAACTTCAGTCGTGTTTGCATAGCCAAGCTCTGAAATTAGAACATCACTGCCAGCAATTCAGTGATGCACCTTTCTGTGTTCCTTTTCTGCAGTAGGACAAAAATGTCAGCTTCTGACTCTGATCCCCCTAATAAAAGCTAAGATACTAATCACCACAAAATACACAACCAAAAAAGTCTTTCTTAGCAATGAGGTCTACAGTGAAAGCACATCTCCCATAAGGCACCAGCTGCTGTAATTTTTGAATGTTATGTTTTAGCCACATAGAAGGTGACTGCAGATCATCCAGCTCGGCATTAGGCTGGAATCAGACGCACAGCATGCTCCAGGAGATGTGGTGTGGGACAAGGAGCCAAGAGCTCCTTAGGTGCAGCTTTGTTCCTCATGGAAACTTCTGTGATGTTAGTCAAGATGTTTTAAGTATTCCTGGCCCGTCTTTTCTCATTTTCTAAAGGAGACCCAAGTCTACCATTTCACAGGGATATTATGAGGATTTACCCTAAAATGTACTTCTGAGGTATTTATAATGGTTAATCAGCTTTTCCATTATGGTGTACTTAAGTTATATGGCTGGCTTCAGCCACACGAATTCACACAAATGCTATACATAGAATACTTCGGAATATTTTGTGTTTGGCTCATCTGAGTCATGGTTTGCACTCAAGAAGAAGAGTAAAATAATTTGGTTATTTTAATCTAAATTATTTTCATGAGGAACCTCATAATAAATGCTTTAGGAAGAACTCAGAGATGAAGCATGATAAAATCATTGGGCTTAAGTATCTCATCAGAGTCAAAGGCAGATATGACTGCTATCTACCAATAAGCTGCAGGATGGAAGAACGGGGGCATTTGTGGTATAGCACAGGAAAAGGAAAAGTGCCGTTTTATCAAAGGGAGGACAATGCTGATCGTTTGATGTGCCAACAGCTGGCCCTGAATAAGTTTAAGATGGAAATTTTGGAAAAAAGGTCTAAACCATCAGAAGCTACTTCTGGAGCAACCTCCCAGTTGCAAGGGCTGAGGGGAAGCTGCAGCTTTTTTCAAGATGGAGATACACTCAGGTTCAAAAAATCAAAAGAGGAGTGTTGGCTGGTTTGCTTTCCAGTCCCTAATTTCTTCCGCTACAGCTGTTGTCCCAATCTCTTCTTCAGTTGTTACCTACTGTTAAACTTCCAGGAAGAGTGGGCAGCTCATCTCCCATTTTTTATGTTAACAGAAAACGCATGGCCATTTTGAGAGAGATTTATTCACTGCCCCTCAAGATTCTGGAACATGTAATTTTCCAGAAGATGACCTGACTATGTTACTGGCTTCATGCTCATGACAGCATAAAGACTAAATTTTTTCAGTATTCTGGTATCTTTAATCAAAGATAACAAACACCACCTGAAGGTTAAGACCTACCATCATTTTCTTTAAGAAAAATTGTGATAGATGAAAAGCCAATGCTGAGCTATGTACGTACACAGTGTGAGTGTGAATTTTTTATCAGGTCATCTGCCTTTAATTAAACATAACATTTTTTGTTATCCTCATGCTATTCTAGGATAGGATGTTTTTGTAATTTTATGGTTTCATTGGGCTGTGGAATATTCCAAACAATTTGAAAATGTGGTTAGATTAGTTTTCCCTTGGGTTTGACCTCAGTAAACTTATCTTGCGGTAAAACTAGATTTCTTTGTCTTTATTTCATTTATTATCTCAAGACAGTTGTTGTGTGTTTGATTAATGTAATATGAAAAGGAGGGAGGAGGAGATTGGGTGTTTTCTGTTTTGTTGGGGTTTTTTCCCCCTACCCCTGAGAGCAGCTTTGAGTCATTCCTCCGAGAGGTCCTACTCCCCGTTGCTAAAGAGGGCTGTTGTTCTGTGGAACAGGAGGGTGGGGGAGAGGCAATTTGAGTCATCTCGACTGGTTTGTCCTGGCATATGTTTCCTGCCCATAAATTGGGATTGGCAAGGCTTGTCGGTGGCAGGCAGGCTTGCCGTTGTTCCGGTTGTGCCTCGGGTGGCGTTTGCTGTGCCCGTGGGGTGTTCGTGGCCTTGCGTGTTGCTTTAGGGTAGGAAAATGGAGATGAAGGGTGGCTCGGTGGCACGTCTCAGGCAGGCGCTGAAGGTACTTGGAGGTGTTGGCTTGTGTTCCTGGAGGGTTTGTGGGAAGGTGAGGCTTTCAGTATTGCTTTTAATTGAGGGTCTGTTTCTTATATACCCTTCATTCCTTCTTGCAGCAACTCCTCAAGATACAGACGTTCAGTGTTAGTTCGCATGGGCACATTTTTCTTGCAGGAGTCTTTCCTCTGACAGAGAGCTGGTAATTGCAAATTGTTGAGGGCCTTTCGGTAATTCCCCTTTTCCTTGACTTGCGTGATCCACTGCACGCAAAAGTTTTTCAGAGCGGTGCCGGCACACCTCTCACCACCAGCCTTTGCTTTGCAAGCCGCTTCCAGCTTCTGCTTGACCAACTACTTGAATATATTTAAGAAGCGGGGGTTCTTTCGGTGGCGAGGCGCTGCTTCTCGCTGTGCCACACGCACCCTCCGGCCCAGGCCCTCCGCGGGGGGAAGCGAGCGAGGCCGCGGCCACGCAAACGCAACCTCGGGGGCGAGCGCGGATTAGCGCGATGTGCGCCAGACATTCCTCCCGCGGAGATGCTGGCCGGTGCTGAATGCAGCCGTGTCTGTGTGAGGCGAGGGAGTTTCCTGCTTTAAATCACCAGCAGGCTCCGGCTGGGCGTTCCCGCTCGCTGCCCTTTTTTCCTTCCCCCTCAATGAGTGTCCTTTGTGTAACCCCGCTAATTCAGAAAATTCTCCGCGGTAATTGGAACTGCCCCGTCACGTGGCTGCCGACCGACGATTGGCCGCCCTTAATTGGCGGGTCTCTATAAGAGCGGCGTGCGGCGGTGGCGGGCGCGCAGCGTTGATCTGTTTTTGTACTGTTGGTCCTCTTTCTGCTGCCGCCGACTGGAGTGGAGGCGGGTTGCGGGGCTCTACCGGAGCCCGCCTATGCCGCCGCCCCGGTAACACGGCCGCTCCTTGGTTAGGGAGCTCGGCGGGGCTCGCAGGAGACTCCTGTCATCAGGAAGCGCCGCTCCGCCCGGCACCGGTGAGTGAGGAGCGACTCGGCCCGTTCTAAGGGGATTGTTCGGGTGGTGGGATCGGGTCTGTGCTGCGGCCGTGAGCTCCCGGTTAATAGAGAGCTGCGAGGGGAGCGCATTTATAGGGGAGGGAGGGTATCGGGGATTCCCTAGTTTACGCCTTTCCCCTCTTTTCGTGGAGGGGGAAGTTTCCCTGGCATTTCTCGGGTCCCCGTCCTGATAAAAGACACCGCGACACGTGTTGGCCACGACTTCCTTGTCGCGGTGAGCTCCTGTCCCTGTGCCGGAAAGGTAGGAGCGCCGGTCTCGGTGCTCAGGTGCAAACTGCGAGGAGCGAAACGTTTCTTGTGCGCAGGGAGAGGCGGGTGCTACTTCCCCCGGGAGGCGAGTGCTGGAGCGGCAGCTCCTTACCGGTTGCTTAGCTGGTGTTTTTCGGATGTGGAAGCTGGAGTGTAAATCACGAGCTAGGCAGAATCGCTTGCTTTCTCCAGGTTAAAACTAGGTACAGCTTCCCACGTACCTGTTACTTAATATCTTCTGAAGTATTTAGAAAAAGTAACATAGTTCAGAGGCATTATTCAAGATAGAAATATAGTGATACGTGTGCCAATCTCAATATTCAGGATTTTGGTTTTTACTAGGCTCTTGAATATAGTGTGATCCCAGAAACACTAAAGAAACCAAGCTACCATGTGAGTGCATATAAAAATGGTTCTTTTAGTTATGTTTAAATAGCATAGAATGCTTTGGGTTAGAAAGGACCTTAAAGATCATCTAGTTCTAACTCCCATGCCACAGGCAGGGGCACTTTGCACTAGACCAGGTTGTTCAAAGCCTCGTCCAACCTGGCCTTGGTACATTAATTGTTACTGTGAAAACTGCCGGTCAAGTCAGATGAGAAAGAGAAGTGCCTATAATATATTATAAACCTTGTGTGGTCATCGATAAAGAGTGGATATGTTATGTGGAAACTGTAACTTACGTTCCAGATCTGCTGTTGTGAGCTTTATTTTTGCTTTCTGAGCTGTAACTTCTAAAAGATGCATTTAGAAAGAGCTTTGGCTGTAGCTTAAAAGGTGTCATCCAGAGTATGTTCTTCTCTATTGGTTCTGATGCATGAAATGCTGGTTTTTCTTACTTTAAATCCCTTGCTTTCATTTGTCATGATTGCCCACGTGAAGATTTTCCAAAGAGGAAAAAAGAAACTTACTGGAGTTGAGGTTAGATTTCTGTTCTGAAGCTTCTCTCAATTGTTCAAAGGCCTTTCTCTCTTTCCTAATACAATGTTCGGAAGCTCTTTGAACAATGCTGTATATAAAAATAGAGCTCAAGGTTGTTGTGTAGCTAAATTTATTGCAAAAATGAGTAGGAAATGTCTAATAAGAGAAGCAATAAAAAGAACAGATTTTGAGATAAGCATGTCTTCTAGAGGCGCTGTGCCTTTCCAAGTCGGGAAGAGCATAACCCAACTTCTGCTGTCAGAGTCCCCTTCTTAGTTCAGGTGTGGCTGAACACCACCTGAGGAAAACACTCTATTTTCAGGCTTGAGCAGTCAGCTCCGAGGTTCTGTGATTGCGGTGGGGCTGGGGAGCAGCTCCCTGCAGCTGGGTACGTTTTTACTTATAGATTTACCAATTAAAATTCCAGAGGAAGAATTCATAAGGTTAGCATTCTTGCCAGAGGTCCCCCTGTTCCCTTCCCCCTGCTCTCCCAAAAAATAAAAAGCACACAGTATTCTGCTTAACTAGTCAAAGCCTGAAAAACGTAATTGTAGTTGATTTGTTGTCTATTAATGAAGTGATCAGCCACCTCCCACTGGGCTTCACTCACCTGTTTTGTAATACTTGTAGGAGGTGAAAGCTGGCTCATTTAAGCATAAACTGAATTTTTGGGAATAAAACAAACATGTTCCAGTCTAATTCTGTTTAGATCTTGTCTGTTACTTGTATTTTGGTTTGTGTCATACTGTTGACTGTTCCAGTTTATTCATTAAGAAAAACCCCTTACGTTTTGTAGTATATGCTCTCATGCAAAACCACATTTTATGCTCATTCTGTTAGTATGTTTTTGCTGTCTTTTTTGTGAGCATATGTAATGAAAAAATT